CTTTTGAAAAAAGACAGCTGGCCTTATTCTTGGAGGAAGGGAGGACCAGGGTTTGCGATTTGGCCCAGGGGCTCATCAGGAGAAAGACTTTTGCTAAGACTTCATATAAGGTGGTTCAGTGATAGACTTATTGCCTTCCATGCTGGATACCAGGGTACAATTCCCAGCCAGGGCACCTCATGTGCAGCCACCACCTGTCTATCAGTGGAGGCTTGCATATTGCTGTGATGCTGAACAGGTTTCAGCAGAGCTTCCAGACTAAGACGGACTAAGAAGAAAGGCCTGGTGATCTAATTCTGAAAATCAGCCAATAAAAACCCTATGGATCACAGTGGTCTGATCCGCAACCGCTCAAAGGATGGTGCAGGACCGGGCAGCATTCTGTTCCATTGTGTGTGGGTGTGGCATGCATCCAGGCTGACTCAACACCAGCAAACAAAGACAAAGATAAGACCCAGCTAGTCCCCAGCTGTCCCTCACTGCCACACTCCCGCCTCTGTCTCTCTTATTTAGGGCCACCTCACCAATGCTATCTTTCCAATCTGCCACACCAGCTTAGGTTTGGACACTGTCTCCTCCACTATGCCCTTTACTGCTGCCTTTGTTAAATTTGATAGTAACCAGAACAGATAACCTAAACATGAACTTACTGGTCTCAGAGGTGGCACCTCCCCCTCAGAGTAGATAAACACACAAAATTTGAGACAAATTCTTTTTCAAGGTAAAATCTCTTAGAGCTTGCAGACTTAGGAGCTTTGTGGCTGTTTTCACTGTTGATAATAATCCCCCTTTTTTTTTTTACACAACTGCTTGTCAACCCTGACTGTGCTTCCTGTCCCAAGCTTGCTTCTAGCTCTTAGACCATTTAGCTGTAGAATCGAATCTCACCTGCAAACAACCAGGGGACACTGAGGCTTTTAATAGAATTGATGTGACACAAGGCTTCTAGGTGGTGAAGAAATTTGGAGAACAGGGAGGGAAAACACACTGTGAATAGATTGAGCAGTTTGAAAGCAGTCCAGAGTTATAGCAAAATAATAGAAAAACAGCCTGCTTAAGGAAAGAATTGTTCATTTTTTAGAACATGTGTTCACCATTAAATCTTGCGTGTATACTTATCAATTGTTATTAATTCCATCATTCTTTATTAAGATAAACAAAAAGACTTTCCTATTATATGTATTTATCTTGTTCTTATACCTGTATCTTTCAAAAAGTATACTATTACAAAATAAACAAATGAAACCACTCTCACTTTCAACAAAACCTTCCAAAAAACAAACCAAGACAAAAACAATCTAAACATATTTCATTAATAAGAATCAGCACAAAGCTCGTTCCTATCAGGTGGAGATTAAACTTGTTCCGGATTTCCAACTTCTCCACGCTGCTGCACCACCCCATCATCACTGCCACCGACCACACTCCCTGCCCTCAGCTCTCCTCTCTCTGTTGGGTTTGGTGATTTGCTTCAACATCTCACAGAACTCAAGAACTGTACTTACAGTTATATGGTTTATTACAGAAGTAACAGGCTAGAACTTGGGATCAGGATCAACTTGGAAGTCACAGGAACAGGAACAGCTTGGAACTAACAGGCTAACTCGGGATCAGTGTTAGGAAGCACATAGGCAAGTTATGGAAGGCTGCCCAAAGTGAAGAGCACAGCCTCCCTTCCTCAGTGTAGGACAGCTCTCTCAGCTCTCTCTTGGCCGGGAGTGGCCCCTCAGGACAGGCCTCCTCCTGGCTGTGTGTGCCCCCTCTCGGCCTTGCACACCTCCTCTTGCCCTCATGTCCCCCTCTCCGCTGTTCAGCCTCCTCTTGGCCCTGCACGCACCCTCTCAGCCATGGATGCTGCTGGGCTCTCTCTCTCGGGCCTCTAGCAGTCTTTGGTGTTATAGCCCTTGACTCGTATTACAGCACTTTACTTCCACTGGCAAGTTTTCTTCCTGAAGCTGCTCAGCTCTCTCTCCCTCTCTGCTTCTTCTCTCTTCTCTCCTTGCCTGTGACCATCTCAGTTCGGTCAACTCCTTGTATAGGCACGTGGCTGAATCCTATTTGGTGGATTTTCAAGCCACTATTGGTACCATGACTGAACAATGCCCTCAATGGACCAAAGGGGATGAGTCCATTTGCATAATAACTGACATTTTCTGTCAGTAGGAGCTGGCTTCTTCCCTGGGCAAAAGTAACAAGTGTCGCCAATGAATTAGGACAATTGTAACAACTCCTTGGGGCATAGGGGAAAAACCTCCCAGGATGTTTTGATTTTTTTTCCCAAAGGCAAACCTCCACATAAAGGAACGAATTTCACCGCACAATCTAATGGAATTTTTCCACAGACGTGATTATCACAGGGTCAGACGGTTAGCCAAACTCCATATATGCAATAGAAGTACACTTTAAAACTTTTTTCTTTTTTTGCTTTTCGGCTTTAATGTTGTCAAAAATTCAATCTACCACGTTGGCATTAGCTGCTGGCAACATTTCATCTTCACATTTGGATGTGTCTGAGCTTATCGAGGTGACAAATGAGTGATTTTTAAGTGGACATTTTGTCATTCTTGAACCCCACACCAATTAGCAGTGGCTTGGGCTCCTTAGCAAAGGCACAGGGCTTGCTTGCATCCATAGCACAGCCAACCCCTGGTGGGCTCCCTGGGTGGGCAGGGCCCAGCGACACCGTCACACTGTACCCACTGCAGCACACGGGTGTGAAGGCTGCATGAAGGGACTCGCCTTGCTGATACCCCGTGAGGCCCAAACACTCAGAGTGGGATCCTACTCATGGAAAATCAGTTTACGACTGGAAGGAATTAAAACATCTTTCCTTATTTCCTTTTCCAAGCACAAAGGGAATAATGGGTTTTAAGTAACTAAGCACCCTTAAAAAGCAAAAGCAAAACAAAACTAAAAAAACACTTCCCCTTAAAAGTAGCTATCTCCCTAGGATAGCATTTTCATATTAAATAAAAATACACAGAGCAAAGTGTGCTTAAAATCTCCCACATATGTTAGAAAGAAATACTGCCCAAAAGTCAGCGCGCTCTATAGCCCACACCCAGGACTTGGCTCATCATTGTGAGAAGGTGAAAATGAAAGCACTGTGGTAGAGATGTGTGTGAGACAAACATGCTTTGGGCATGTGGTCAGGAGGGGCCAGTCCCTGCAGGACGTCATGCCTGGTAAAGTAGAGGGTCAGTGAAAAAGAGGAAGACCCTTAACGAGATGGACTGACACAGTGGCTGCAACAATGGGCTCAAGCGTAACAATGATTGTGGGGATGGTGCGGGACTGGGCAGTGTTTTGTCCTTTTGTGCGTAGGTCCCTGCGTCAGTGGGAACCGACTCGATAGCACCGACCAACAACCATGATGTCGTAGAGGTAATGCTGAGTAAGGGATACCACCAACCTGAAGGCAGTGCTTCGGACAACAGGCAGTTTACTTCCTCATCAAAAATGTTTCATCCCTAAGTATTTCCTGAGTTTCTACAGTGATGTGCCTACTTGGTTCCAAGTGAAAAACAGTGAATAAAAAAAGTTATGAAAATATATGGCTGTTTAAACAAATTCTTTCAATAGCGTGCTGGGTACCTGAAGTATCTGTGTATCAGAGCTCTTTGTTCTCCATCTATGAGGAGAAGTGCCAAATACACTCTGGAGTGCCAGGCTTAAAAAGGTGCTGAAGAGAATGGCCTGATTACCTGAATTCCAATTTGGCTCCCAATGAAAAGGGGGAAAATTACCTGGGTGCCTGGCAATGTCGCTGCTCCAGTGGCTATAGGCCTTATCTAACAGTTCATTACACGCAGAAAACAAAGCATATTCTAGGGAAGAATGCCCTGCTCCACCACTGGCAGAGCACTCTCTTGGAATTCCTTTGTCGATTTCATAGATTTCTAACAACCAGAGGATTGTTTCTTAAATCTGATTTTTAAGCCAGCAGCACAATTTTTTCCTCTCTAAGTAGGACAGATTCATCCCACCAGCAACAATGGATGCTCCCTGCTTCACTCGAGCATGACCGATTAAGTGCCAAGCAGATGGCTAAATGCCACCTCCTCCGTAAAGAGGCTATCCAGAGGCAGGCAGCTGGGGCCTTGGCTGTATTCGTTCCTTGAGCTGCCAGCTGATGAGCCCCACTGTCTGAGGCATCAAGCAGCCCTGATTGAGCAAACTGTGAATTCTCGACAGGGGACTGGCAGAGCCGGGTCGACATGCTTCACTGCCAGGGCTTCCAGGCAAACACCTCGCTTCCACATTGTGCCTGCCTCAGGAAAGCCACCGCTAGCAACGGCTGGCAGAAAGCCAGCACTTTGCACGTGTTTGCTGAATATGAAAGAGAAAAATGTGAGTGTAGAGAAAAGGCACAGAGACCATGCACACAGATGCCTTTCAGACCTTGCCAGATAAAACGCTGTTGTTTTTAGCCAGGTGGTTAAGCGATGCTGACTTGCAAAAGAGCTAAGTAAAAAAAAAAGAAAGTAAAATTAGCAACAATCTAAAATTAGGAACAACCTAATAAAGCACAAGTAAAAGGAATAAACAGTAGTCAAAAATCCAGAGCAGATCAGTTGCACTGGAAAATGCATATTTTAGAAAACAGGCTGCTGCAGTATGAGGCAAGGGCTTTTGCAGCCTCTTAGACGCCAGAGTATTGCATTAAGAAAAAAGTAAGCGGATTTAAAACTATAACTTTAGGATGACCATTGTGCAGACTGCTGGAGGGACATCTTAAAATGCTATGCATCATGTTCATTGGATAGAGAATGTAAAACTATAAAAACAAATCTGTGTGTGTGTGGTTTGTTTTTTAATCAGAAATAGATACAGAGTCTGTCTGTCAGTGTTAGAAACAGACAAGGCCTGATCGTGATAACACAAAAGCAGGAATGCACAGCTCTCCTTCTGATGTAATTGGTGGCTATTATACTTGCTGAAATCTTGAACGAGTCTTTCAGGACCACATGCCTATGTTTGTCATCTGCCTTCTTCCTCAGGTGCAAAGAAGGCTACCAAGGAGGCCGTTGTGATCAATTTCTGCCGAAAACGGATTCTATCTTATCAGATCCAAGTAGGTCAAGCGTTTTTCTTCTTCCCCCTTCTAACGCAGTATCTAGGCGGCCCTCACTCTGAGCCGTGGCTGTTAATGCAGCTGAAGGCTGTATTGCAGCAATGTGTGTCTGAAAGCCGGCCAGGACGGACGCTGGGCCAGACGTTCATATGCAAAGTTCTCTCAGAACCAATTCAGTCCTAGGTCTTCTTCCTCCGTGGGGCCTGACCTTGAGATTCAGCTCCCCTCTAACAGCTGCAGGGGACTCCAGCCAACCCTGCTCCCAAGCTCCCAGGCCACGCGAACCCCATCCCGCTTAAGAAACAAGGATATTAAAAAAAAAAGAGCTGATAATTTATCAAAAAAAAGTTACTGAAATTATAGTACTGTATTTGTTCTTCAAGCAAGCCCCAGTGGCACAGTGGCTAAAGCACTTGGCTGCTAATCAAAAGGTAGGTGGTTCAAACCCACCAGTAACTGCTTGGGAGAAAGATGTGGCAGTCTGCTTCCATAAAGACAACAGCCTTGGAAATCCTATGGGGAAGCTCTACTCTGTCCTATGGGGTCGCTATGAGTCGCTATGGCAGTGAGTTTGGGTTTGGTTTATTGGCTCTTTCCTCTGGCTTGTAATAATATTGAACTGAAGTAAGAAAATATACGTATAAAATTGCATAGAAAGTTTTCAAATAAACTGTGAAAAACTCATTTTAGCAACACTATTTGTATATCTGCAAATACTATACTAATGAAAAATTATTTTTTATTCATTTATGAAAGAAGGCAATTTGTTACTAAGAAATATTGCTCATTATTAGTTTCTGTTTCTATGTGGAAAAAGTAACTTTCTATACTAATATGTCCAGTTTTGCTCAGATGTGAAATTTTTACCTTATCTGTGAATCATTTTCTGCTCTTTCAATGGCTGCTACAATTGAATCACTGCTACAGAAAGGGAGTTTTTATTGAATCAGCAATTTAGTTTGGTGAGGATAATGACACGCGTTTCCAGATTCTAAAGGCATTGTTCCGGTTTTCTGTATACTAAGCAGGCATAACACAAACTTTGGCAAAATATTTCAAAGTTACCCACCAATAGCGGTGCCCAGCCTGCCAGTGAGTATGCACGTTGCTGCGTAATGAACACATTTAGCCATCCTTCAAAATCTTTTCATAACTTGTGTTTTTGTTTTTCCTCAGAATTTCTAGCTACATTTTCCCAGGTAAATGCAAAATTTCTCAAAAGGGAAAGCTTTTTCTTAATTTAATTTACTTGTGTTTTATTTTGACAAGGAGATCCATTATTCAGAGATTAACTACTGTTTTCTTTACAAATTTAGTTTTGAGGAAAAGTGAAAGTTGGTGAAAAGCAAGTGGTCAACCCAGCCAAGGATATCTCTGGTCTCTGGGATGTGAGGTGCTGTGTCCTGGAGATGACCCAGGCGGGGTGGTACAAGAGGAGGGATTTGTATTTGTTTACCCTGTGGTTCATTCAGGGCCCTTGCCAAGTCGGTGTTTGAAAGGCTAGTCATGGTTGTGGTCAGAGACACACATTTGGAGTGTTAGGCAGCTTTCATGGAAGAATGGGCTTGCCAGTTTCCCTTCCCTCCTCTCTTCCCTTCTGTATTCCTTCCCTCTCTCTCCCTCTCTCCATCCCTCCCTCCCACCCTTCTTTGTTTCTTTTCTCTCTCTCTCTCCATCTTTGCCTGAGGTATCTAGTATCCCTCTTTGTTTCTTTTCTCTCTCTCTCTCCATCTTTGCCTGAGGTATCTAGTATCCCTCTTTGTTTCTTTCTCTCTCTCTCTCTTCATCTTTGCCTGAGGTATCTAGTATCCCTCTTTGTTTCTTTCTCTCTCTCTCTCTTTCTTCATCTTTGCCTGAGGTATC